ATATTCTCAAATGACATGAGCCTTCAGATAGCCTTCACTCTTTCAGTCAATCAACCGCCAGCATGCCTAAATCGGTTGTCTTGGAGATGTAGCCTCTTCGAGGGCACATTGGAATGATCTAATATGACTTCACTCCAAATATAGTGTGAATGAGTTCACAACTCAATATTGGTAGCAACATGTCCCTACCGTCCATATGCAACCAGGAGGAATATAAAATGTTCAAGAAGCTTTGGCACTTTCTAAGGACCTGGGGGGAGGGGGGCTAGTCATGAGAACTGGAGCGAGGATGAGAGCTCACTGTCAGCTGGCACATCTGTCAGCACTCCAGGTAGGATGTGGGATACCCGCAGATGCAGCCACTTCACAAACTTTATTTAGTGAATATGAATTAGATCTTGATTTTGTAAATAGTAGGCCTATAGGCTAAGAGCTATAAACAGTAAGCAACAATCACCCTCATTGTTGATAAAGATATTATAATACAGCCTAATAAATCTCATCGGGGCTGCTGGCTCTGAGAACTTATGCGTCATCTCCAGGAGGTAGGATAATTGTAAAATGTAAACACTAACATACAATAAACGAAAAATAACAAAGAAATCAGAGCAAACAGCAACAGCAGCTCTTGGCATGAAAGTGCGCACCGTCTCCAGATGCAGCTGTGTGCCATAGGTATGACCGTGTGTGCCTACGTTTATTTGACAATCTTAGTCTTCAAATAAATAAATAAATAAATAAATAAATGAATATTAAAACTACCGAACAGTTTCCATGCCAAGTACAGTAGCACTCATCAATTTTTTCTACTGCTTGAGAGCCCAAACAATGTAGCCTAATTATAACAGTTATGCCACCTATGGGTGCTAGAATGCTGGTTGTCCTAGTTTTAAAATATATATATATAACCACCTGTAAGAGATGACTTGGTTGGTCTACTGACTACAGAGCAATAATGACAATAACTGCCAGCTTATTATAGCCTACATGTAAAAAAATACCAATCAGCAGCAAATGGACTGAATGATTACAATAAACTCAATGGTATAGAAATGACACCAGTTATCTCTTTACAGGTTATAAAATGTATTCTACTTAATAAATAAAGTGGCCGAGTGATACAAGTTGATTTTGGTTCAGACTGGCGGAGAGTTTGTTTAAAAAACTGTTTGTGCAAAATTGAAATCCAAAAGCATAGAATTGAGATCCACGAATGCTTTTTCGCTTCACAAATAGAAAATTGATTCATAAATGTCTGTTTGAAAGTTGTAAATGTTAGGAAGACATAGACAGATGCTTTTCATTCATTTGTGAATAACAATGTATTCACAGATCATTTTCTTTATTTGTGTATTTGCAAATCTGTTTCATATTTGCAACATATTTTTGTGAATTTGCAAATTTATTTTTTGTGTTTGTGGAAGGTGCTTTATATTTACAGATTACACATTTATGCACGGATTGTCGATCCGTCCACACAAATAATATTGAACCAAATCTACCTCCATACTCAAGCTTTGGGCATTTCTACAGCGCTTGTACAGAGATTCATTTTGAAGCAGCATTCTACAAAGAAGCTAAATGGATCTACCTGAGTGCTGTGTTAATGTGCACTCACTTTTAGGAGGAGTTTTTGCTTTGTTTGTTTTTGCTGTCCTCCACCTATGCAGCATGAGAATGGAGACTGAGCGATGCTCCATTTAGTTCAGACACACTTAAATCCTCACATTAACTCTGCAACCTACTAAATAATCATGAATTTAATTGGTCTCAGAAGGGCTTTCTAGTTCCTCTTTCCTCCAAATTTAAAATCTAGCTATTTTCCATATATTCTCTGCAGCCTCTGTTTACTCTGGAAGGCTGCATAACTCCCAAAGCAGACCTGACAGAAAGCAAAAGGTGTAGGTTAAGTGTAACTCTTCTACCTTCTCCCCACATGGGAACAATGATGTGTGTGTGTGCATGAGTGTGTACAGTATGTGTATCCTCTGGTGCCAGCCCTGCCCTTCTGGCCTGCGAAGCTCCAGCAGCTGTTCCCTGCACTGGGTTACATTCCTGGGGAGAGCCCTGGGGCAGAGCAGCTGCCTGGTGCACCTCTCCTTACCCCCTTTTTTTTTTTTTTCACTATTTCCTCTCACTGGGCCTCTCTCTCTGACAGCACATGCAATTACACAGTGACATTCCTTCATTTATTACTGCACCCTCACCCCTCCCTCACCCTCCTCCACCACACACACACATACACACACACACACACACATACACACACACACACACACAAATGCTATAACTCATACTAACGTACATGCAGAAAGATGCAAACGCAGTGTTATGGGAGTCATGACTTGTCCACATACTGTAGACCAGCATGGCGAAAGCAAACAACAAATTCGGACTATTACTCTTAACTGTTTTCATCATTCAACCTTTCTTTTGTATTTGCCTCTACACTACAGTATCTAATTGTAGCCATTATTGTTTTCTTATCTAGTAATTTCCCCAACACCTATCAGGCTTGGAAGGGATTTCTTCCTCTTTAATCCCTCTCAGGGTTTTTTTTAATTTTCCCATTAGAGGTTTGTTGGAGGGAGTTTTTCTTGCTCATTTGTTTTTGTTTTCAGTCTAATACAAGCCTGTGAAGCCCTTTGAGCCATTTTGATTAAAGGCACCACAAATAAACTTGAGGTGACTTTTTTTTCTTAGACACTACTTGATTCATTCTTAATAACTCTTTTCCCTTGTTCTGTTGTCCCCTCTCTTCCATATGTTGTGGCCAGTAGAACCAGACAGGCCTTGATGTGGTCCAGCGAAGTCTCCAGTAACTGGAGGAGTAAACCTAACCTGTGCACCATACACAATACACCCTGTGTGCTTGACCGACAGATGGCCTTCGACGCACATATGAGCACGCATGCTCCCACAAAATCAGAAATGCGCTCACAAAACTGCACGCATACACACATGCATGTATACTGTATATATACGCGTGCACATGTAGGGTCACACAGCGTCTCGTGTCACATGAGGCTCATATGAAAGGAAGTGAGCCACAGTCACGCACACTTTCTCATAGATGCAAACACATGCTCCGGCTCACAGACGCACTCACACACGTATTCATGGTCACTCACACCATTCACAAAGCAGTGCCATTGCACGCACACTGGTGGTCAGCCACATATTTCCTTTCACTATCGTCTACATGATCACACAGATCACACACACAGAAACTTAAGCTCGCACGCCACAGCACCTTTATCCCACAGACAAGCTACTTTATCACTTTCACTGTACAGCGTCTCACTTTAACTTCACTCTGCTTTGCCTGCAGGGAGACATGTTTAGTACAGCACTAACAGGTAGGGAAACAATATGTAACAGCATGCTGTGCTACTATATAAGAGATGCACAAGGTAAATTAAGTTGAAGCAATGAGAGAATACTCCACAAAACGGATTAATTAGAATGATTCAATATCAAAACTCTCGTCATTCACGTGGTATGAAATCATGATAAGAGGAATTGTTGGAAGTTCACTGAGCCCTGGTTGGACTGATTATACAATTCTATTTTCAGGTGATCGATCAGGCGTATCACAATGCATTCTGAGTGGACGTATCACTAACCGCCTTTCAGAAACCATCAAAATCATTCCTATAATCCAATATTCATCCACTCTGAAAATCTCTCATTCTCCGTGAGGTAAACAGCGAGGGGCTGCAGAGCCTGAATGCCACTCAGTACTGTATTTGTTCAAGAATTTTAAACAGATCAATCATCAATCTTCTGAGGAGGATGCTGTACAGACAGAGAGAGGCTGTGTGAGAAGAGGGGGAAAGAAAAAAAAAGAAGAAAAATAGCAACAGACAGAAAGAGAGGAGAATAAATGGCCACATTTATAAGGAGAGACGTAGGTGATTAACCTCCTCTGAATGAGATTACTAACATTAGGACTGGACCATTGCTTTTAGACAGGTGTGTGCAGCTGTGTGTATGTTTGTGTAAGTGAATGTGTGTGTGTGTGTTTTTCCATGCATGACTATGTGCATAATGGCCTGGTGTATTTTTAGAAAACACTGAAAGTTGTTTCCTGGAAATTGCAGAGGAGAATCTGCTTTCATCTGCCAGGAAGTACGACTAAAGAGGTCTAAACCTGAAGCTGAACTCAAGGCCAGACACAGAGTGACCTCGGCTTGTGAGGTCGATCACCAACATAAAATGTAACACAATAACCTAAAGAAGTGAGCTACGTCTCGGAATCAAATAATGCTTTCAGGTTCCAGCCAATAAATTCACAGAAATATATTGAAAATACACAATTAAATGCACTAGTTTTTATTCGTGGGAACTTGAAAAAAGTGGCATGAATGTGAGATTGGAATGAAAATAATAAAAAAAATGTCCTTAATTGAAACTTCACGTCTGAATTCAATACAATAACAACTCAGCTGGGTCTGTACAGCACAACATCTGAGCCCCATTATATACATTACTGCCCCCACATAACAGCTCATAGAAGTACAAGTATGTATCAAATTTGTCTTTTAAAGATAAGCCATGCGTTAATGATGGAGTTTAGCGTGGACAGTTTATGGGCTCCGCCACACTGTATAGTAAGGAGCTGTTCACACACACACACACACACACACACACACACACACACACACTGCGACCAGTAAACAGACATAAACACACACATTCACAAACATTGTTGCCATTAAGGAACTTTGTGCAGCACTAAAACATGAAGCGAATACTTGTGGGATTTAGTCAGTAAAGGCGGCTGTAAAGAAGAGAGCTGCTATTACAGCAGTATTTACTACAAATTACTAAGCGTTGTGCCTTGGGAAGGGAACAGAGGAAACCTTCTACTTTTTACTATTGGAATTGGAGCTTGGATACATACACTCACATATGTATGTGTGTGTGTGTGTGTGTGTGTGTGTGTGTGTATGTGTGTGTGTGTGTGTGTGTGTATGTGTGTGTGTGTGTGGCCTTACCTCAGCGTCATGATTCTGTAGGTTGTAGGTTCTCTGCAGAGCGAGCATTGCCGCCACGCTCAGCTCGGATTCCTCCAGCAGAAGCTCCAAAAGCATCACAAGCTGCTCCGACGTCAGCTGAGGAAACAAAACAATTAATGAGATTAATAGTGCTGACTAATACAAGCTCCCTCATTAAATATATTGAGACATCTTACAAAATATTATGCAAAAACAAAAAAAAAATCTCATCTTTCTTACTCGAGCAGCTTCAATTACTAAAGTAGCAAAATTATCAAGACTGGCAAAATTATTCACATATTCTATACCGTGCACCCACTCACATTAACATTATTTTCCATAAGTTTCATTTCATTTTCTTCTCTGGGCTGGGAAAGGTTTGATGAAAAAACACATTATGCAATTACTACGGCTTTTCAAAAACGGAGGAGATGGCAGCATAATAAAACGGAGCTGAAATGGTAATCAAATAAACATGGTAAACAAAGTGAAACTTGTACAACTGGGAAATATTACAAAATAGGCAAAACAGGACAGATGAAGGGAAAATAAGATTTGAAGTGAGGACAGAGAGAGAAGTGAAACAAAGCAATGAAGTAGTCTTTTTTGGTATTGTGCTATGTAGAGGAACAAAGAGAGAGGCACTGTTCTGGGACTCACACTCATGGAAAAAAAAGACATCTTTTAGAACAATTATTCTTTGTAGTTCGTAAGACTGCAGTGAAATCTCTGATTGAGACAAAGACAGAGACAAAAAATTTTGAAAAGAAGAAAAGGTTTTCAGGAAATAGGAAATGCCTTTCTGTTGCTTCTTAATAGCGCATGTACCGTTTGTGTTGTCCTGAGGTAGACCTCAAGGAAACAAACTATTTTCTTCTGATGACTAACATCTTCAGGGACAGTGAAAACTCAGCGGTGAGCTTTGACGATTATTCTGAGGATGGATGTGGGCAGCGATATGAGAGAGCGACTTCCTCCTCGGGGGACAGCTGTGCCCAGCCTTGCCTGCATCTCTCCTAGATACGCCCAGCACTCCCAGCCACACTCTCTCTCTGGTCCCAGTCTGGGACACAATTAATGGCTGAAGGCCCCGTGGAGACGAATGTGAAAATAGGTATGAAGTGTGTGTGTGACTGAGCGAAGCAGAGCGCGATGGAGAGAGAGCAAAGGGAAAAAAAAGAAAATGACAGAGGAGGAGGTACACAGACAAAACTCTTCTATTCAGGTAAACACACCCAGCAAGTGTAGAGTAAATAGCTGCATTTGTGCAAAATATATTTTGGAAAGAGACCATCCGTTTAAAGCTGTCTTTGGTAAACAACCTCCTAAGCGCTGCTGGGAAATACTTGACCTAAAACCAGGAAGTATTTCAGCATGTAGCTGTTGGAGCTGAGAGAATAACACCTAGATTCTAGCTGGCAAACGGTCAAATCAAACACTACTGCTACACACACACACCCACACAAACACTGATGACCATCTAACTCCATGGAAAATCTGATATCCAGTCTTTCCCTTCACCCTCTATCGACTCTCCCCTCTCTCGTTCCCCTCCTCCCTCCATTTTGTGAAGGCTGAGTGTTTTCTGAAGTGGCGTCTCCATCTCTAAAGAGTCTCTTTGGGGTCCACCCATGATCCTTCTCACTCGCCCACCCTTTGAAAAGTGTTGAATCCACAGCAATAAAACAGTGCTCACATACAAACACACACGCACACACACACACACACACCTACACCTCGCTGCACTGCCAATGAGGTCCTGTTGTGCCGGTGGGAACAGTTTCCTGGTCAATGATGATACATTACAAATCAATTTATATCGTTAATATTATCCTCTCACACACACACACACACACACACACACACACACACACACAGTACACAAATTCACAGACAGTAGACATATTCACAGACTGAAACATGACCATCTCCCTCATCACATGTAACATCTCCATGGTGAAGTCACCAACTAACCATCAACTAACATCCGCTTCTATAAGAAGTCTACCTCTCATCTCCTTCTAAAAAAAAAAAAGCACAAACTAACCACATTTACATAAGTACTGTACTTCAGTGCAACTTTGAAAGTACTTTATTTAGGTATTTCTGCTTTTTATTTCTTATACTTCCACCGCACTTAAAAAATACTGTACTTCTACTTTCACTATATGAATTTCGTTTCCCCTAAATTCCTCATGCTTGGGTACGCAATTTTCAGTCCGGTGCAGCAAAGACAGACTCTAATAAAACTCACCCAGCTTGCTCGATCTCATGCCATTCTACACATTTAACTAACTATGGCTATATCAGTTTAATATCATGGAAGAAGAGGAAAAAAACAGAACATATTCACATTTAAGGAGCTGAAACCACAGAATTTTGACATAAAAAAAGGGACTCAAAACGACAATTGGTGATTATTTTTCAGTCAATCCACTAATTGATTAATTGACTAATGATTGCAGCTCTATCTAAAACCTCGTGGCACTTGTGTCAGGTGGGCTTCGGAACAGAGTGTTATTAATGATAGTGTGTCCTTAATGTACTGTGGTGTAGATTGTACCACATTTCTACATCTTTTAGACCAAAGCCAAATATAATGTACAATAAATGTATCCCGAGAGGCTGGGCAATATCTGGCCATAAATGTCATTACAAATGAGATTTAATATGATGAAAATCATAAGAATTGTGATTTTAAGTAAAGACTGTATACTACACTACTCACTGCCTAATGTATGTATTATCATATTACTGAAGTGCTCAACAACTGCTTTAAGGCTCCGTGAGCGTGTGTGTGTGTGTGTGTGTGTGAGAGATAGAGGGAGAGAGAGAGAGCAATTACTGGGGAAAAGGTGAACTCCATGGCTGAGTACTTGCTTGGGTACAATTAATGGGTAGATCCTGAAGAATGGCACATGAACATTTACAAACAGCCCACCATAGGCACCCGCACGCACGCACGCACGCACGCACACACACACACACACACACACACACACACACAGACAGAATCCCATGTTATGACCAGGTCATGGGTAACTCTAACAATAGCCCTTAATAGTACAGTGCTGAAAGCACTTTACCACTGAAGGGGCAAACATATTCCTCTCTATCTCAACGATTCATGTGTCAAGATCTTCTCACAAACACACACATACACACGCACACACACCACAGAATTTTACCACAGGAAAGAAGCATTTCACTCCCTACTGTCCGTCAAAGCTGAGGAATGCTAATGGTAAAAAAGACAGAACACACAGTCTTTCTCACACACTCACTCAGACCGTCTGTAATCTCACTCACATGGACATTAAATATATAAAACAATGCACACACCAACATACACACTCCACTTCCGTACAAACCGCTGACATGGGTTGGCTGCACCAACTCTTTATTGAGCTGAGCTTTGCAACGACCTCTGGGAAATATGCTGCTGAAATGTCCCCATCACACACTGACCTCTAAACCTCGACAGAACAATGACACACACACACGTGTGCATACATGCACAATTATAGACTGTTTGCCACAGTGACTGACAGTTCAATGAAATAGTAAACACAGCTATTGTAAACACAGGATATGATGTCCACCACTAAATAAAGTATATAAGTATATAAGTAAGTTAAGTGACGGTGCGCGCATGTGTGTGTGTGTGTGTGTGTGTGTGTCAGTCAGTACATATGTGTGGGTGTATGGGACTATGGGACTGAGCAACATTAGTAATGCTACTGCTTCTGCATAACATGTTTGCAAAATGAATTGAAACCCTTTAGCCTTTTGTACAGAATGTGTACACACACACTCACGCTCACAGCATCAATCGATGCTTTATTGTGATATTTCCCTCCTTAACACTGATCAGCCTGCAATAAAGGATTGATTAAGAGTTGTAAATAAATCGTCCCTGCACTGCACTTCTGTCTCTGAGATTGTGTAGAAGATGAAGAAGGGTTGTCCAAATGAAAATCAAAACTGTAAATCTTAAATCTTTTCGGTGCCTTTCCAACAATCCATCACTTGTTCAGTATTTCCATGGCAACGGCACTGAGTACCACTCTCTACGTTCTGTATAGTACATAGGAGAGCGAGTCTGTGTCCTTTTTCAGGAGCCATTATGCAAAGACAAGACTGATTTGAAATATTTCCATTTTGTTAATCTGTCCTTCACATCCTCTGAGCTAAACAGGGTCGTGAACTCAACCTCTTTTAGTCTCTTGCTATCTTAAGTGGTCATTCACCATTTACCATCACATCCCTGCAAGAGGTACCTCAGATAACCCCTGCTAACTGAATCATCACTGCCTTCTCCTGTTTCTGCTTGGACTGATTTTTACTCTTATTTTTCTGTCTTTTTTAAGCACTATTCTCACTGGACTGTTGTCAGTGCATTATAGCTTAAAGTGGTTGCTCGTTATGATAATCCAAGAAGTGAAACTCACTGTAAATTGCTGGTAATAAGGAATAAAAAAAAAAGAGAAATGACAAAAAAAAAAAGAGGAAAATACAATAACAGACAGAGCGAAAGAGATGACTGACAAAAAGAAAGAAAAGGCACCTAAGGGTATGTGTAAAAAGTCAATGACTGAACTAACTGACCATAAAATCTATATAATGTCTCCTTAGAACATAAGAGAACCTCTTTCTGGGCCCTTGGCGCCGTTATGCAGAATACAGAGGTGTTGCTAATGCTTTCTTTTCCTCCCTTACCTCCCTTCTCTTCCGTCTCCCTACCTCTGTACCACTGGGGAGAGTGCACTGCTTGTTCAATCACATTGCATTATGGGGGTTGGAGACATTGAATAACTGTGACATTATAAAACCAAACTGTGATTTCTGAGAGGCCATTGAATTGTGTGTGTGTGCATGAGCGAGTGTGTGTGTGTGTGTGTGTGATGCCATTCAACCGCTCGGCTGCCTTTTATTTCTGTCTGACCACAGGCTCGTAAAAACACATTCTGGCACCAGCAGCTAAAGGCCTCAGCCCACGCCGCCTCAGGTACTAAGGTTTCACTCTTTCTTTCCCTCAAATCCCTCCCTTTCCCTCTCCCTCTGCCTCTGTCTCCGTGACTGTCTGCTCCCGTCTCCATACCAACTCCTTTTCACTC